CCCGCCTCCCCGTTCCCCCCTCCCCCAGCTTGTGACCTTGCCGGCTGACAGGCATGTACCACAGCCCCGGCCTGTGCAAGCAAACTTCCTCTTGTGTCATGGAAAATCTTTAGCCTGTCAATAGTTGTGACTGCAGGAAATGCCTGCAAGGGATGGAGCATGAGGTGAGCGCAGGGTACACAGGACACATCGCATCAGGATGTCAGGGGGCGGGGAGATGCGGGTACACCCATGCCCCTCCCCGGGGCCAGAGATGTACCACAGCCCCGGCCTGTGCAAGCAAACTTCCTCTTGTGTCATGGAAAATCTTTAGCCTGTCAATAGTTGTGACTGCAGGAAATGCCTGCAAGGGATGGAGCATGAGGTGAGCGCAGGGTACACAGGACACATCGCATCAGGATGTCAGGGGGCGGGGAGATGCGGGTACACCCATGCCCCTCCCCGGGGCCAGAGCAGCAGCTGGTGTAAATCAGTGTTGCTCCTTTGAAGGTGGGGGTGGGGGGGAAGGGGTTATGCCCATTTATACCAGCTAAAGATCTGGGTCCATAGGCTTGATTCTTAATTCTAGACGTACCCGTGAAAATCCAGTCCCCCTGCATGTGTGAAAAGCTGCTGTGCAAGCAGAATCGGGCCCTATCGGTGCACAGGAGGCCAGAACTGGGCCCACTAGGCCTGTCCCTTCCCTGGGGTAACGGCATTGATTTCAGCCCTGCTCACCACGCCTAGACCCCTGTGAGGAGGGGAGGTTGAAGCCAGTGGCCAAGCTCCTGCTGACTCCCATGGAAGCAAGCCCAGGGCAGAGAGAAGCAGGGGGCGAGGTATGAAGGCAAAGGGAGACAGGAAACGTGACAATTAAAACAGAGGCTGCTGGGGTCAGATTCTGCTCTCTCCAGGCAGGGAGCACTGCCCAGGCCAGGCCCCATGGGTGCCATGAGAGACCGAGGAACACGCCCCCAGGGTCCTTAGCACCCAGGAGTGGATGGGAAATTCTCCCTGCAGTGGAAGAGCCAGCCGGCCAATGAGAAACGACTTCCTTTATTCATGTGCTTGGGCTGAAATCCAGAGAATTGATTAGGGGGTGATCGATCACCCTCCTCCCTCCCCTCACGGTCAATGGCAGTCTGCACCTTTCCGGGAGCGCGGGGGAGATCTGTGGGTGTCCCGGGGAGGATGGCTGGATCTAACTGCCGATGTCACAGCTCGACTCAGAGCAGCTGGCCCTGGGATCGCCGTGGGAAAGGGAGGCCAAGATTTGTAAATGTGCAAAATTAACCAGGCGCCTCAGTGCAGGTCTGTGGGGCAGGAAGGGCCAGAGACAACGGCCAGACTCCCACTGGCCCTGCATGCTTTGACTGGGCTCTAATTGGACTAGTCACTGGTGGTCTTCTCGGAGAAGCCGAAGGCTGAGCAGACTCTGGAGATGGAGCTCCTGTCTCAGGTCCGGGGGACCTCAGCTGAGTGGGTGCCAGCTAGTGTAAACCTCATGGCATCAATGGGCCGTATCCCCAGCTGGGGGTAAACTAACACTGCTTCACTGAAATCAATGGGCCAGATCTGCAGCTGGGATAAATCAGCCCCACTGATATCAGTGGGCCAGACCTCCAGTTCTTGTAAGTCCCTGGGCCAGATCCAGAGCTGGGGTAAATCAACGTTGCATCATGGGTGTCAATGCTGATTTACACCAGCTGAGAACCTGGCCCAGCACGTAGTCCCAGATAGCAGAACTCATGGGCACGTGATCCCGATTCCACGGCTGTCTCGGATGGCTGCAGCAACGGCCCGACTTGCCAGGCTGTTTAACGAAGGGCAGGCAGTCTGGTGTGCCCATGTCTCTGGAGCGGCCGTTTGAAAGCCAGTCCCTGGGGCCAGCCAACGCGCCGTGGGTGAGCACTGCCCCGGGGACCTTTGGCAGCGCATGAGGAGCAAGAGAAAGCCAAAGGGCCGCCGTGTGTCGGTTGCTGCAGCGGCCCTGTGCAGAGAAGGGGGCTGGGTTTCATGCGTGCGCCTGCAGGATCCTGTCCCTGCTGAGCGTCTCCGTTGTGCAGATAACAGCGAGCCGCCCCGGTGCTGAGCCGTTCTCTCCTCGCTCTGGGGCTTTTGCTGCACAGTGCATTTGGCTGCAAATTTCCTGCCGCTGAGTAGAAACTTTCTCACCTCAAACGGCAACCACAGGCGGCGATAAGAGAGTAAATATAGCAGGGAGAAAAAACCCAGCAGCTCAGGGAGCAGGGGAGGTTATTATTGAAATGGCTCAGGTTATTTCTGTCGGGGCCGGGCATTACGTAGCAACCACATCAGTATCTCCTCAACAATGGCTCTTCCACTGACAACAAGGGCCAGATCCTTAGCCGGGGTGATGCCAATTTACACCATTTGAAGATCTGGACCCCTGACTCCAATCGGGTGACATGAGCTGGCCCCTTTGACTCTGATAATGCAAACCTGCTTTACACCAGGTGAGGAGCTGTCCCACTGACTCCAGGAAAGTGACCATGGCTTTCCCTGGCTGGGGATCTGGTTCTTTGATGCCAATGGAGCTATGGTTGATTGACACCAATTAGGCATCTGGCACTTTATATCTTTAGTCTCCCCTGGCACCCACAGTCCCTTCCTTAACCCATATCAGGGTCACCTTCAGCATTCCATGCTTGGCAGGATCCCACCGCTGCCCCTCAGTTCTGAGAAGGATTCAGGCTCGATAGTGACTCAGGACTCCTATACTGATCATGACTGGTAGACACCAGTCCCTGACCTGGGAGGGAGTCCCGATCTCTTAGAGTGGGAAGGGACTTCTGGCTTTATTCATCCCAGGGCTGTACCATGCTTTGACCCCCCTTCCTCAGAGGCCAGCCTCCCACTGATGCTCAGAGGGGAGTGTGGCCTCACAGACACCCTGTCTACACTAGTGACATACACAGTGCTCTTCCTCTCTCCCAGCTCTAGGAATTCATGCGCTCAGGCCTTGGGGATGCTGGCTGTAAGGAGGCATGAGCCTGACCCTCACTGCGAGGCCTCTCAGCCTCTCTTGTGCTCAACAGGCTCTGTCAAGGAAACCGGCAGGCTGGGCTTCAACTGAGCAAGCTATGACGCACAGAACCACAGAGGGAGGAAAAGCAGCCTCTTCCTCCCAGCCACCCCCCTCCCCGTGCCAGGTAGCGCAGCCGGCTGTGGCGCAAACAGCCGCTCGCTCAGCCCTGAGCTCGCGGCTTCAGACAGGGTGGAGGAGGGAGAGACCTGGCCCGATGGGAGTCCAGCAGACAGCACTCATCCTGTTGGTCTTGGTGGGGATATGGGGTGAGTACTCAAACAGGCCTCTTCCATTCAGGGATTTGACGCAGCTGCCCTGCTCTGCAGCAGAGTCCCAGTGTGTCTGTGCGTGCCCTTCTTTCAGCAGTCGGGGCATGAGGCATTCATACCGTTGTTGCGGGTGTGCGGCCAGGAGGAACCAGGGCAGGCTAGATCATGCCCTACTGAACTGGTGCAGAGATCCCCTTGGTGGGGTGGTAGATTTTGCCCCATCCTACCTTTGGTTTCCAGGAATTTAAAACAATGGGCAGGTAAACTGGCATCTCCCCATTGGTGTCAAAGGGCCAAATCCCCAACCTGTGCAAATCGGCTTTGCTCCACTCACATGGATGGGCTAGATTCCCAGCTGGGGTCAAACCATCTCACTCTCCTGGGGTTGATTTACACCAGATGAGGAATTCCCCAAATAATTCTTTGGATTTGCTGCCTCGGATGGGCATTGTGCGTGGCGGTTTAACATAACAATACGCTGTATTTATATGGCGCCAAAGCGTTTTTGGTAATTTACCCATAAGCAGATGCTGAGTAAAGGACTTAAAAACAAACACAGATGGTCAAAACATCAGCCAATAAAATGAGCAGAAATCAACCTGCTCTTTAGCAATGAACCTTTTGAAATAGAGCAGGGCTCTAAACCATGTAGAAGTATGAGATTGAGCCTCAACCAATGTAAAGGGGTATTGGTGTCCATGTACTGCAATGGAGCATGCAAATTTACACCGCCCGAAGAGCCGGTCAAAAAGCAGATGTGCCAGGGATCCACCTTGAGCTGATATCTGGTTCTCTGTCCCTCCCGTTTGTCTATTTATCTGCCAATTGCATCATGTTGCAATGCTAGATGGGGAGCTCTCCGGGGCAGGAACGCTCCATTTGTTCAGCACTGAATACAACAGGCCCTGGTCACTGACTGGATCCTGTAGCCATGTCTGCAAAACAAATAAGCATCATAACAACATGTGAAGTGGTCATTTTGTGAGCCTGGGAAAGAGGGTGCGAGCGAGGACTCGAGATAAGGGAAAGCAGCGCCAGTTTCTCTTGAGTCATTTCAAACTGGAAGGGCCAAGCGCAAGTGGGTCAGGAGATTTTCAGCGAAGCGGCTTTTCACTGGAAAATGCTGCGAGTGATCAAAACTGAGTGTTTACGAGGGAAACAAAATGTCCTTTGGCGTAGTTGCTAGGTCCAGGATGGGATTTCTAGTCAAAGCGAAAGACAAAGCCTCGCTGGGGCACAGTCAATGCAACAGTCTTCCTGTTCCAGTTTGGGCACCTCCCTGCAATGGAAAACAACCGGTTTTGACTCCCGCATCTGATTTGGGCAGAGCAGGAATTTAAACCAGCGCCTCACATACCCCGGGTGAATACCCCAACCACTGGTTTATCCTGAGCTCTCTTTCCCGCTCTGCTTTTGTTGTTGTTGTTGTTAAGGTCTCAGCTCCAGCCCAATGTATCACAGGTGCTTTTTTTGAAATCTCAAACCCTGTTGCAGGACAAGAAAACCATTTCCCGCCCAGCTCTCTTAAGAACATACTGATGCACGTGTTCCAGGGCGGGCTGGTCTCTCTCTGTGTGTGCACCTACACAGCAGGTTTGGGGCCTCTTGCCTTTGTCTCAGGGTGGGATCTTGAAATTCTTCCACTCTTAGACCAGAAGCCTGGAAGGTTGTCCTGCTTACAGAAACCGCTTACCATCCTGCAGGCCCCACTGGGTTTGAGGGACATGGCACAGCCACCAACAACGGCCTTTTTATTTAGCAGCCGGGGCAAAGAGAGACAACGGGATTTTAAATCAACATGCAGCCTTCATGGGTGCCCCTTTCAGGGCTTAAAAGGAGCTATTCAGGAATTCCACATTGACCTTATTAATGCAGAATAACACGCACATGTGGACAAGCCCTTATCTAAATCCTGCCATCCCACCATGGTGACCAAAGAAGGTCAAATTTTCTCAAACTCCTCCGCAGGCTTCTGTATTCTCCAGTAGCCCTTTGGATACCTGGCCAAAGTTTTTTGTTCCCCAGGTTCATTCCAGGGTTAGTGGGTGGCTTTGGCCCCTCCTGGCTAAATTAATCCTGAATGATCAAAGGGGATCAAGGGGCAGTCCCTGGGGCTAATTTCTCAGCATTGTCCGATTACGACCCTTTTGTGGTAAGTGATAGGTGACCATCACAAGCCACCTTCTCCTTCCTGCCTGACCCAAACAAGAAACACTCAGACCCAAATATCCCTGCAGAAAACCACCCTTCGAGTAACCATGCCAGTATACTACAGGGTACCCCATATTCACCACTGTACCACTGGCACCTCCCCTACCTCAGTCAGCCCAGGGTTGTGTCCAAATGGCATGGTCACTCTAATTGAGGTCATAGGCACCTTAGATTCTAGTGCAAGGAGCGCAAAGTCTGGAGGCAGCATGCAGGGCCCGCTGCACTGTTGGTGCTAAACCAAAGCATAACAAACCTCCTCACTGATAACAACATCTTAGGGACTAATCCTGTCCTGGCCCAGGTTGGGGGGCCCAGCAGTGACAGAGAAGAGGTAATCGTCTAGGCCTTTCCATCTTTTCTCTCTCTGGGACAATCTTCTAGGGCTTTAATCAGTCCCTAAATTTTTGCTGGGTTAGCTCATCACCAATCAAGATGTAGCCCATCAAATTCAGGGGGCATTTGGACCGAATAATTATTTCAGGACTGTAACACGCCCCTCTGCCCCCCACACACACACCCGGCACCAGCCAAAGAAGAAGCAGAGGGGAGACTCTGGAAGAGCCGGGGAGGAGGGGAAACTGCTGTACTGAACCAACCTCCCAGTCCAGCCAGTATGCAGCCAAGGCCTGTAAGGAAGGCAAGCGGCATTCTCCTATAAAACGCAACTGTCTGCTAATCACCACAGCATCTAGGCTCCAAGTATAAGATCTCAAAGACGTGACATGGCTCAGGAAGGGTTGTGCCAGAAATTGGGGTCAAGCCTGCCCAGACATGAGCATCAAGGGGGGATTGTAGAATCATAGAACTCTAGGACTGGAAGGAACCTTGTAAGGTGCCGAAAGGGGTCAGCGGGGCTCTGAGTGTGTGAGTGACACAAATCCCAACATGTAGCTAAGCCAGCCTGGCAAAAACCATCAGGCACAGTTACTAACCCACAAAATCTGCTCTCAGCCCTGAGTGATGAGAAAGAAAAATCTACTGGCTTCACCCCCTCAGAAAAATACAATAGAAAACATGATCGCCGGTGCTGGGAGAGTTGAAATCTGTGAAGCTGCATTAATAAAAGGGAGTCCTGGCCCTTGGAGGCCTCTTTGTCCTCCCCATTGCTTGTCTCTTCACACTTCAGCCATGTGTCATGGGTCAGGGTCCCTCTGTGCCAGGCGTTGTACATTCATAGCAAGCACATCTGCCCTGCCTGAATGCCTGGTTTGCAGACAGCTTTTGTACTGGTCTGTCTGTTTGGTTGAGAGATGAGATTTCTACTAGTATACTGTCATACCCGTGTCAAGTTACCTTATACCGCCGCTGGTGAAGATCAGTGTAGATGGGATCGAACTAGAGAACGTAGAGAAGTTCAGATATTTGGGGAGCAACATGAGGTATGATCTAGACTGTAAGAAGGAAATAGCGACTAGAATAGTGAAAGGAAGAGCAAATCGCCTGGTTTGCAGGCAGCTTTTGTACTGGTCTGTCTGGTTGAGAGATGAGATTTCTACTAGTATACTGTCATACCCGTGTCAAGTTACCTTATACCGCCGCTGGTGAAGATCAGTGTAGATGGGATCGAACTAGAGAACGTAGAGAAGTTCAGATATTTGGGGAGCAACATGAGGTATGATCTAGACTGTAAGAAGGAAATAGCGACTAGAATAGTGAAAGGAAGAGCAAATTTGAAGGCGATGGATAAGATCTGGAAAAGTAAAGTGATTCGCTTAGGAATGAAGCTGAGCATCTTGAAAATGTGCGTATTTAACAGCATGTTGTAGGGATGTGAGAAATGGGTGATAACAAAAGATTCGAAGAGAAGGATATTGGCATTCGAGAGGAGTTGTTATAGAAAGATCCTGAGAATAGGATAGATGCAGAAGGTCACCAACAAGGAATTATATCAGAAGACACAGCCAAAAGAGAACCTACTGCAGAAGGTTATACAATGGGCTGTGTCTAGACTGGCAAGTTTTTCCAGAAAATCAGCCGCTTTTCCGGAAAAACTTGCCAGCTGTCTACACTGGCCGCTTGAATTTCCAGAAAAGCACTGACGATCTCATGTAAGATCGTCAGTGATTTTCCAGAAATACTATGCTGCTCCCGTTCGGGCAAAAGTCTTTTTCTGAAAGACTTTTGCGCAAAAGGGCCAGTGTAGACAGCACAGTACTGTTTTCCGCAAAAAAGCCCCGATCGCGAAAATGGCGATCGGGGCTTTTTTGCAGAAAAGCGCATCTAGATTGGCCACGGATGCTTTTCCGCAAAAAGTGCTTTTCCGGAAAAGTGTCCTGCTAATTTAGACGCACTTTTCCGAAAATGCTTTTAACAGAAAACTTTTCAGTTAAAAGCATTTCCGGAAAATCATGCCAGTGTAGACGTAGCCCAGAAGTTACAGCTATTCTGGCATATCTGCAGAATGAATGACGAGCGAAAAGTTAAGACCCTGGTTTTCAGCATAGTGGATGGTCCGAATAGGAGAGGCAGACCCCGCAGAGAATGGGGAGATGATATAGTAGATTGGTGCAGAGCTAGTTCACAGAAACTAAGCCACTCCGCACTGGACAGGGAAAGATGGAAGGAAATAGTGAAGGAGGCATCAGACAACAGCAGGCGTTGAGCCCAAGCACCTTGATACCAATATAACTATGTCCACACTAGAGGGGTTACGCCCCTTTTAACTACCTTGGTATTCTTAAAGCAGTACAACTTTCTAATGTAGACAAGACTTAGCATCTAAATCCTAGACTGAGTATTCTGGGGCAGTGGCTGCATTTGTGTTGTTTATACTGAGCCTGGTACCA